TTTACAGAGGACTGGAAGCAGTGAAAATAAAGAGCTTTCTTCCTTACACTGAGGATCGCAGACCTGGCAGCTCCGAATGAAAAAGGAAAGAGACACATAACAAACAATAAGTTCTCCAGACTGATTATCAGTTGACTTCCATCAACCGTATTAGTAACCGTATCCCATCTTGGGGCAGACGGTCTTGGTGACGTACTGGGGCTGGTACTGAGTCTTGTACTGGGTGGCGTAGCTCGTCGTGGTGACGTACTGAGGCTGGTATTGAGTTGTTGTGATGTACTGTGGTTGGTACTGTGTTGTCGTGATGTACTGATGTTGGTACTGGGTTGTTGTAATGTACCTGGGTTGGTATTGGGTTGTTGTGATATATTGTGGCTGGTACTGGGTTGTTGTAATGTACTGGGGTTGGTACTGGGTGGTTGTGATGTACTGTGGTTGGTACTGGGTTGTTGTGACATACTGTGTCTGGTACTGAGTCTGGTACTTGGTGACGTACAGTGATGTCGTGACGTACTGAGTCTGGTACTGAGTTGTTGTAATGTACCTAGGCTGGTACTGTGTGGTCGTGATGTACTGGGGCTGGTATTGTGTTGTTGTGATATACTGGGGCTGGTATTGAGTCTTGTACTGGGTGACGTAAGCCGTCGTGGTGACATATTGGGTTTGGTACAGGGTGGTGGTGATGTAAGTTGGCACATGTTGGGTCTTGTACACGGTTTGGTACTGCGTCTGGTACTGCGTTTGATACAGCGTGGTTGGTACAATCTGGGTCTTGTATTGAGTTTGGTAGACGGGGACCTGCAAAGGATGAATAAATTAATAAACAGGTACATAAATAGATAAAACAGGTAATATTACACTAACAATACGACGCCTTTGTGGTTTACAGAGAAAGATTGTAAGTGAGAATCATTTCACCAAATCATATCACGAAATATGAGAGGATATTCTGTGATTTCCCCCTTCGATCACTGCCACGAGTTATTTTCTCTCTTACACTCTTCCTTAGCAATTACCACGTCGAAATGGGTGCTCAGAGGAACTTACTATTATCAGTACTAAGTATGATAATGATAATGATGATAGAACACACTCACCTGCTGAATCTGAGTAGAATAAAGCGTTGTGGTTACGGGGTAACATGGGGTTGGCTTGGGTGGGGGCCCGTACGTGGGGGGAGGGGGTCCGTACGTGGGAGGAGGGGGCCCGTAGGATGGGGAGGGGGGTGCGTCGGCCGACGTAAGAGCCAAAGTGCAGAGCACCAGCAACGCTTGGCGAATCATCTGCGGATTAGAGAATGATGGGCAAGAAGATTAGATTAGGGCTTGATAAAGAAGAGAGAGAGAGAGAGAGAGAGAGAGAGAGAGAGAGAGAGAGAGAGAGAGAGAGAGAGAGAGAGAGAGTTAAAAGACGAAGTTAGAGAGTTAAGAAAGAATGAGGAACATTAAATGGGTTTGTGTGTGTGTAAATATGTGTGTGTAGAGAGATAGGTAGAAAGATTTTTTTTCTGAAGAAATCAATCTGGCTAAGAAATACCATCAAAGAGGAAAGTAGGTAGATACGAAGAGGAAGTTAGGGTGGGGAAGAGAGCAGAAACAGAATTAGAGAGTGATAGACAGGAAAAAGGGAGGGAGGAAAAGGATCAAGAGTTAAAGAGAGATGAGGAAGGGAAGAGAGAAAGAGAGAAGCGGGAGAAATGAGCAGCAAATGATATATCTTGCATTTGGATAGACATTCGCCATTGTTTACTGACGTCACTTCCGCCGCCTATAAATACAAAAACTGCAGGACGTTTTTCTATGATGTTGACTCAACAAAATGCAGATAAGGATTATGATATTATCATTAATGATAACTGTGGTGATAATAACGTCATTAGTGGCAGTGATAATGGTCGTGTGTTAATACTAATAATGATGACGCTGATCACAATACGAAAATAGGAATATAATAATAAGGATGATAAAAGTGATGATATTGGTAATTACGACATGAATAACTATAATTATAATGATGATGGTATCAGTATTAATCACGCTAGAGATAAATTTGAGATATAATATCAATGTCCACTGGATATCGAAGAAAAGTTCTAAATAGTTAACATCAGATCAAGTGAACAAGTAGATATATAGAATTCAACCACTCCCTCTCAGGCGGAGTTGCTGACCAGACCTCACCTTTCAGCTACCGCCCCCCCCCCCCTCTCCTAAAAAAAAAGGTCATGTGTATAATCAGTTCATGAAGCTCCTGGCTGAAAGTGAAAGGGAGTTCAGACTATGACTCAGCACTTCGTTTTGCTTTCGATTCTGATACACTTTTGAAGTCGCTTGGCCCCGGTAAGGTCACGGCGGGCGCGGAGGAGAAGGAAGGGGGTAGAGAGAAGAGATGAGTGTGAGGATCAGGGAAGAAGAGATAAGGAGGAGGAGATAATGATTATGATCAAGGAAGAGTAGGCAAGAACAAAGGGTGAAAAGAAGAGAAAGGTGAGAAGATTACG